CTTTGTCACTCCTCTCTACTGAATCCTCTCTACACTTCCTCTTTTCCCAATCGTGGTAACCAAACTTCTTAAGGTGCCCTGCTCTAGTGAGGCACTCAATCTCATCCTTGAGGTGCCTCCAATCCTCTATGGTATACCCATAATCTTTGTGAAACTTGCAGTACCTCATCAACTTCGGCTGGGTTGGTCCCTTGAACCTCGACCTCGGCCACGTAATGTCTCGACCATCCAGCTTTTCCTTCATAGAAACCAAGACCTCTCCCATCTTGGCTTTCAGCGGGTTAAAGTTATGATAGCTCTTGTCTCCAATAATAGGTCGATCCCCTCACCTATCTTCTCGCCAAACTCCTGACTTACCTTCCTTTCTTTGGCTCTGGCGGAGCCATGTTCTTTAGTTTAGCAAAATCCACTTTCGTCTCCTCGAGATTGATATATTTCTTACACCTCCTCAATACCTCATCATACGTACGAGTAGGGATTTTATCCAAAAATGTTTGACATGGCCCCGCTCGTAAACTCTTTAGCAATCCTCCTGCCTTAACCTCAACTGAAGCTGACGGGATCTCCTAGCATGTATGATTGTATCGAGCAACATACTTTCGCAACGATTCCTTCTCCACTTGTCTCATCACCATAGAGTCAAGTATGTCTTCTCCTGGACCACCGAACTCAAGTACCGATTTGTCAATTTCTCAGCAAAGTCCTCGAAATCTTTAATCGATCTTGGGGAAAAGCTGGTGAAAGCAGTTAAAAGCAACTCCCCACATGGTCGACAGAAAAGCCCTGCAAGTGGACGAGTCAGAATACCCGTGCAAAATTGCCATATTCTCGAACGTTCTCACATGCCTCGACAGGTCATATGACCCATCAAATACTAGACTCGTCGCCCTGAAATTGACCGACAATGGTGCTTCTAGTATCATCCTCGAGAACGGATGTCCCTGAGCAAGTCCCTATGTTCGTCCATCCACCTTGGCCTGCAACTAACGTAGCTGCTCAGCGATTGTCTCCATCTCTTGATCTCGTGGGGCTCATTCTTCTCAGTAACTTGATACATACTCCTCCGTGTTACGCTAGGCTCCTACCACTATGGTCGGCACGATTGCAGCACGGGAGGTGTTGTTCATCACTTGTTGCACCGCTTGTGCCGTTGCGTTGGGCATCATCTGCTCCATCTCCTGTCTGGTCATCGCCACCACCTGTTGACCAGAGCACTACTCCTCTTCCCTTGGTGGCACTACTACCTACGCCACCGCTCTTAACGGTTGAACTCCAGCAGGATCTGGCTGCCACAGTGCGGGTATCGTCGTCTCCGGCATCGCCCGAGCCTCCTGCGCTAGGCTCAAGCCCACCTCCACCACTGGGAGCGCTGATGAACCACCAACCCCTGAGGATCAGACGTTGGGGTCACCGCCGTCTACGAAGGTCCGGAGAATCCCAGAGGAGGGCCAACTCCTAACGGCCTCGTCGTCGTCCAAGCTTCATAGAACGACGACTGCAAATTGATTCTGGGACTTCAAATCGGTAACGTCAACACACAACCTTTCGAATGAAAGTCCCATAGACGGCGCCAAATGGTAACGTCAAACACTCCGACTGACTGGAAATCAGTTCGTCTCATTCATCCACGTCGGTAGAACACTGCATACCTGCAAAGAACTCTCACACCGGAAGGGTTTTTCGGTGAAGAGCCTCCGATGCGTAAGTCTGTATAAATTCTTAAGAGTAAAAATGGATAAATCATGCTGAAATCATAAAGTTCACCCCTATATAAAGGGGTGAGGTACCTGCTTCTAGAGGCTGCCTGGATGAGCTGAGGTAGCTGCCCAAAACTGCTCAGGCCTGCCCGTTCGTACACACACAGTGTGTTTGTCAGAGATAGTTATCGTCATAGACCAATCAAGTCGCGCCACGTATCCTCCGCACATGGGGTAAAGATTCCTCTGAAATCTCCTCGAAGGCTCTTGTGGTCGACCGTGTCTTGGCCGGTCCTCGAACTGCTCTCAGTCTGTGAAGGGGTCGATCAGATGCCCTTTGCTCGACAGGTCGATCTTCGACCAGATCTTCCATAGACCTGGGTCGACCTGTTCTCCTCGTCCTGGAGTCCACTGTGCCCTGTTCTCGTGGTGTTCGACCACAACCACTCTGCTCGACCCTGTTCGATCTAGACAACCTGCTCGGTTTGCTTAACTCGTTAAAGCTGGTTGAGTGAGAAGTCTATTAGTATAATATCACATGTTATCGACTTAAATAAACTGAAAATAAAAGAGACAAAACCCGATTAATATTTATCTATTTATTATTCTCAAGGTATGTACTATTTATCCAATTTAATAAAAAAAAAATATAAAATGAAACAAGATTACGAGATAATCATATTATCTCTTCCACTTCACATTCCCCAACTTGCGTACGATCCACTCTTTGGATGTCTTGGAATTGGAATGGCATAAAACTGATTCGATTTTTTTTTTTTTTTTTAGTGTATAAGATAACATGAAAAATGACACAATGTCATATAATTATGTGGAAAGATTATAGCTCTCTTGTGCCATAAACGAAAAGGTTCAATGAAAAACAATTTCAATTTTTCTTTTACAGGACAAATATCGTAGTACTCAAATGTTAAAATAATTAAAGTGTCAGCAATAAAGTTTTGTGAGATAGTCGCCGCAAATTTAAAAAAGACAATAGAAAATTGACAATAAAATCACATTCATTATACCGTTATTTATCCTTGAGACGCTCTCTTCCAGATTATCAGGTTTCTTTAGAATTGTTGCGTTTCACATTATCGCTTTATTCATTTGTTTTAGTTTTTTGACATTTTTCCTATATGTAGTCTCATGTGATTATTTTATTAAGTTAAGAATTTGTTGGATATAAAATAATTTATTGGGTTGGCAAATGGCTTCTTTGGATCCACAACGCCTTTTGTTTTCCCAAATATTTCACAAAGCCGCCAAATCTTAATATTTTATATAAATGGGCACCAAATGGTGGGCCCCATAAAACAATAAAATGAGGTGTTGGGCCAACACAAAAGCAATATGGGGGCCCGTTAAAGTATGCAAGATTCTCAACATCATCATGGTGTTCTTCGTCTCCTTTTTAGGGTTTCGGCAATAATCAGATGTGCGTGCGATACTATTTTACGAAGCTAGTAAATTTTACTACATTCACGATATTCTTTGTCCACCCGTTTACTTGAGTTTTTGCTTCGTCCCATAGATTGAAAAATAGGTCTAGTTGTGACCTTGGTCCGAGAATAAATATTTCGACAATTTCGTATTTTAATATATTTTGTCATGATTGAAAACCTCAAAATATCCAATTTTATTTAAATTATCTCAAAAGTACATAAAAACCATCGATCTTATAAGATCCAATGACTCACCTCCAGTGACCTTTACACACTTTGAGAATTCTCAAAATACTATAATGAAATCTCAAATCTTTCTATGCTTTACCATATTGTCCTTCATTTTTTTATTTTTTTTTCGAAACGACAACACTTTAATAACTGAAAAACTCAAAAGAGTATACAGGGAGTGTCAACTAACACTAAAGAACCACGAAACATGGAACTACCTCCTTGGAATTCCAGAAGAATTCAAGGAGTACAACTTCACAAGGAGACGATTGCTATTATGAAACAAAACTTCATAAAGGAGATTGAACTCAAACAAAGTTGGACTAATAAAACGAAAAAAAAAAAAAACACACACACCTAATGTGCAAATAAATAAAACTTCACCTACACCTAGCAGACATAACGCACAACCGCCTCAGTCGACACAAGAGCCACTCCCAACGGCACAGAAATCCAACAAGGCAGCAAACCAGAACCTCAAACTCGAAAACTGCGACCACTTGCGCTGGCGGATCTAACGAAGATGCAATTTTCGATTCAGATATGAACTCCGAAAATCTATCACGTCGAGGAAGGGGGAGAGTCGCCACAAAAGACACCAACAACCCACGCCGGAGGGCTCGAAAGGGGGCCCAAATGTGCAGCAATCCGCACCCTTCAACGTGGCAACTAAGGAACACGGACACAACATTGACGGGTCAGCGGACTCGAGAGGCTAGGGGCCTGGCACTGACGACCTATGGCCCGATCTTGGGGAGATGGCGACCAACAAGTTCCAACTCGACAACACTCCAGCAAGGCCTCGGAAGAGGTGGAAAAGAGGACCCCAACCCTGACTCAGTGGAATCTGTCTCGGGTAGTGCGGCGACAGGCCTCAGGCAGAGGAGGGGCAGCAAAGGGACGAAGTGGCGGTTTTGGTTTTTCTTTCCGAAGAGAGGATGAAAGAGGGGCGCGTGAGGTTTTTCTTTCCGAAGATGGCAGTTTTGGTTTTTCTTTTCTGGTAGATTAACTACCAGAA